TGATCTACTTTTAGGACTTGTGTGAAAATCTGATGATGTTTTAGGTCGGATTGATGCAGAAATATAGAAAATTATAAAGAGTTCACAAACATTCAAGCACCTTTCTATCTGCTTCTCTTCCTCTCTGCTCCATCTCTTCTGTCCTCAGGAGCCCTCATCTCCTGACCCTGGTCTGTGTGGTGGACCTGCTAACCCAGTGGAGCTCCAGCTCCAGTGGCCCATGGCCTCTGCTCTTCTCTACCAGTGAGCCAAGCTGGCCTCCGCAGCCTCATCACCTCCCCCGGCCCCAGACCTGGATCCGGACCCTGATCCCAGTCAGCGTCTCGTTCAAGAAGAGCAGTATGTGAGCGAGGGTGAATGTAGCCAGCTCGATACACACCCGGCGCCACCTCAGTGCAGGGATGCTGAGACCATCACAGGTAGGGTTTAGGAATGAGTGAACCCAGCTTGGGTTAAGTGTTGAACCTGAATGGTAAAGCATGGTGGTGGTACTATCACAAGTTCATTTTTTGTGTGTGTATAAATATTTAAAGCAAAAACAGAAAACCTGAACATGCACCACCTACTCTGGAAAACTCCAACAGGATTCCCTCACATGTATTTCTGTGTTTTGCGTCATCCATCTAATCACTGTCCCTGCTTATGAAAAGCATTCCCACAGCATGATGCTGGCACCACCGTGCTTCACTGTAGGGATTATGAGCATGATGAATGGAGGTGTTTTTCTTGATGGCCAAAAAGTTTAGTTTTAGTCTCATCTGACCACAGCACCTTCTCCAGTATGACTTTTGTCAAATTCCATGTTTCTTGTTTTAATCTATGTGTTTTTCTGGCCTCTGCTCGGCTGAGCTCTGAGTAGCTTAGTGGCTCCATGAACAGGTGCTTTCCTTTTTGCAGAAAAGCTGTCCAGCTCCTTCAAGGTTATTGTTGTCCTAAATATTCTTCCGATTAATGCCCCGCTCGCTCTGTCTGTGAGTTTGGGTGGACGATCTTCTGCTGTGGGGACACCATCTCTCCATCTTCTAATAATGGATTTCACAGTTTTTTTTAATTTTTTTTAAGTAAAACAACCCTGATCTGTTCTTGATTCTAATTTTCTCTCTCAGCTGTGTGAAGAGCTCCTTGGTCTTCATGCTGTCTGTTTCTTGGTGGTAGGCCTCACTACTTAGAGGTTTTGATTCTGGGGGTCATCAGAACAGGACA